TATGTCAACTGTTTAGCGTCTGTTCCTGCATATAAAAGGTTCACTGGATTGGTGCAACCAGCGGGAAGCTGGTTTGGTTTAAATCCCGACACCTTTAATGAGCGATGCCTCCAGGGTGATGTTGAACTCCTGCAGAGTCTGAAGAACTCGAATCAGAGAGTTCACCAGCGAGCGGTCCTTGATCAGCGCGGCGTCTTCGTACATTTGCGCCGTGATTGGACAGTCTGCGAGAAGGGCGATCCAGTGATGTAGCAAATGGTCCCTGAGGGGAAACAAAACAAGGAGCAGATTCAATGCAAATGTACACTGGTATCATTTAAGTATAGTGTAAACAATAAATGCATTAAATATTGTTTTATACTCGCTCGTGACACACTCTTGATGTTGGCCATCAAATTGGCGACAAGATTGAGCGTGAGCTCTTTTCTGAGTTTGCAAGTTGATAGACAATGCTGCTCATAATGTCTAACTAATATTTGTAAAGGTTGTTAAAGGGCAAAGTGAGGGTTTAACGTCATCTTCCCTAAGATAACATTCATTTATTTCCTGCCTACCTTGCACCCAGACAAATGAGCATCTGAAACTTTCCGTCCTTGCCAATGTTTCTTGACGTGTTGTTGATGGCGCGCATGAAGCGGCAGAAGTGCTGCACTCGGCTTTGCCAATTCTCATCCGGATTCACCTCCCGTTGCTCAGCGCTTTCAAAGTACACTTGTGCCTTTTCTGTTTCATTGACAATATTGAAAATAATAGATGAAATGCAAAATAGAGCTAATATGTTATTTCAAGGAGATAGTGTTTCTTACCCAAGAAGTCCCAGATGAAGACATTTTTAAAGAGTCGAGGTGATTTAAAACCATGCTGGAAAACCTGCTCCAGAGCCCAGACAAGACCAAACTCCCCACAGAGGAGAAGTGTCAAACTGCCTCTCTGTAAATAGCAGGAAAACAAGACATGATTTCAATTTCCCTCTGAGTCATGCCTACAAATTCTCTTCCATTTCGTATCCTGTTAAGTCATCTCATCGTTTTATTTACTACATCATTCATGGGTCTATGGGCTAAGAAAACGTTAGGAAGATGCTGTGACTATACACTTGTTTGCTTTTGTGAAGTATTAAAGACTTTTTTTGTCCTGTCGGGGTCAGTGTGAGCACAGACTTTGATGTGAACAGTAGGTGCTGGTGGCATGCCCTACCATTACAATCAATGACAGCGTCATATATTTGCCTGTTTTCTTGTCACAGTAAATTAACAATTGAACATGACTTTGGGGTGGTGTTGTGGTAATGTGAGTATGTAATGGTATATTATAGCAATATAACCTATAACACCAACTGTGAACGATGCAATCTCCTGAAAAGTAGTGATTTTGGAGATGCAAGAATTCTGCCCGACAGCGACAATATGAAATTACACCAAAATCTACAACCTCCTTTCATTTCAGTGCAATTGAAATGATCTGCTTTGGTGCTGAATACCACAGACTCCAAAACATGAAGACGACTAGCCATCATTCGAGGTCAGACAATCCGTATGAGAATTGCGTTGGCCAGTTTTGCTCATCCGGTCAGATGACTGTCACCGAGGAAAGTATAGTACCGGTAGTCACATGACATGCGGTTGGGGGAGGCTTGCTTAAGGCATTTACATTTGGCCTTATGTTGTTATTGTTTTTAATTAATATGAAATGATATACAGGGACTAACGATGATTTTTGTCACACTGCGGGGTCACATGGCTGAATCTGGATTGAAGGCACAAACCGGGTGCTGCCGGAAGGCGTGTCCTGCCATTTCAAAGGCAAGTCATGCCTTTGAAATGGCATATATATCTTGAAGAGAATTGCAATTGTTGGTTTAACAGATCAAGGTACAACAATTAATCAACAATCAATTATCAAATAACTACTAGTCGATTAATCATTTAGAGCCATTGTTTAACTTAACTTTGCAAATCCTCTGAATTTCACCCTCACAACAGTAAATATACAAATATTTTTGTATCGGCCCATGACAGCAGGAACTGATTATCTTTGTGTTTCATCAAATTAAGACATTTGCAAACATTTGCTTTTACTTTAGAAAACAGCAGCCAACATTTTCTGACGGATCTTATGGGCGGGGGAGCTGGGGGTGTCAAACAGAATCAAACAATTTCCTGTATGTTTGAGCATTTTCTGCACACTCGATTTGAAAGAATTAAGGGATCGAAATGTATTTTTAAAATTCAATTTGATTAACCGAGGAAAAAAATCAACCGTTTATTATTTTTCAAAATCATTTGCAGTCCTACTAAAAATATACAATTGTAACGCACTGAAACATCAGGCACATTTTGAACATAAACAATGTTGGACAATAAAAAAATACTTTGATAATAATTCAATTAAAATGTTTTGGAGGGCTACATTTAATCACAGTTATACCTAAATAAAAGTATACAAATAAATGTATTTCAAAAAATGATACAACTAAACGTACAAAAAAGTTAAGTACAACTGTACTTCAGTCGTAGACTCTTTTTCCACACTTTGACAATTATGAGCATGCAAAAACAACACAAGAAAAATAATTTAGCACAAGTGCGACATGTTACCCAAAACAGAGCCGGAATGTGTCTTCATATCGGCTGCTGTCTGTGAAACGCGAGCTGGATGACTTGGTTTTGCAGATGCAACAGCCGTCGTTACTCCGGTAGATCTTTGACTTGTGAAAGCCAAACATAGTCTTCCTTTTTTTACAGCTCGGTGCACGCGTAAAAGAACCTGCACGAGGAACGAACACACACACGCACACATACATGCATACACACACAAAATGAGAGCTTGTTCTACTAGTCGTGCACCAGGAGCGAACACTCTGGCACTCGCCACCATTGTGCAGGGGGGCGGTCCCCGCCCGAGCACACGTTAAAAGATGAAGGTATCGTTTTTAACATGCGTGAGACTTGGGAGATATTTAGGCAGCACAAGGCAAATGCTTGTACTGGACTGGGCCACTTTTTTATTGCACAAATCGAAGCGATCTAAAGGCGATTTAACTGAAGCTCAACTATGGCTTCACAGAAAACCAAACATGACTTTAAAACCCAAATTGCAACGCAACGCCCACCACCAACTGACAACGACGTCGCTTTTGCAGACAGTCGTGAACACGCAACATACTTGAGTGTAAAAAGTGCAAATGTGATTATAAAAGTCGAATAGGTATCATGCGACTACCGAGTGCAAAGACAGCAGCTCGCGTCTATCGGAGAAACAAAAAGCTACGCGGGACGGTTTGTTGAAACATCAAACACTTGGTTACAACATGAACAACTTTATTTCGCTTGGAGTTATCCACTCGAGTCGGTTGTGTTTATCAAAAGGCGAAACGTCGCGTGAGAATCGGTGTCCCCTTTAAATTCAAACTTTTGCCCGTTCGAGCGCCAAATATGGCTCATTGTTGTTAGCCGTTAGCATGCTGGCTAGCGCGCTCCCCGCACCACGCCATGCTGCCATTCACTTCCATTGTCGGCGGCTCTTTGTGCAGCCCACTCGACACTATAGACAACTACATAGTGAACATTAAATAACGTTGCCAGTTCATTTCACTCTAAATACATTAGCTCCATTAAACGAACGTCACTACGACCTCAAGGAAATAAACAGAGACTTACCGAAGGAAAACTTTGAATCTTCGCCGTTTTCTTGTCACGCACTGCGCATGCTCCTTACTACGACTGCATACAGCTGGACATTAAAATATGATTAGCATAAAAAGCCCGAATGAAGCGAGCGAGTGCACGATGACCATATAAGGCGTGCAGGCGTTGGGTTTGAACAGCTCTCGACCAATTGGAGACACGCACAGAAGAGTGGAATGCTGGGATGTGTGGTGAACACCTCGGCCGGAGCGTTGTTGGTTGCTCATTTAAAACTACAGTACCAACAAGCCACCTGGTGTACGACTTTAAAGATAAACAGACATTTGACATGGCGCGAAGAAGTTTGTTTACATGTTCTCACTATTAAAGAGCTCAAGTATAAGAAAAGCACTCATCAAAAATGATATACGTAATATACATACACTATATATATATATATATATATACACACACACACACACACACACACACACACACACACACACTGTATATCCCTTGCCATCCTTAACTGTTGAAATTTCCAATCCTGTTGGACCTCAGCAAAGGTGTTCCAGACACGTTTCACCGATGAAATCAATCTGTTTTTAATTTCATTGGATATGGTGGACAGAGTCCAGTGAATAGATCTTATGCAAGGAGGGTAGCCAATTATAAAACACAAAATATGACGAATCCATTCATCCTAAACCTAAGGAAATTATTTTTAGGGTGTTTCTTCAGTGGTTTGCAAATTGTCACAGAGCTCTCTCAGTCACTGTGATTTCCATTTTGGGTGATAGTGGCCTTTTCTACATTCCATCTCGGGGTAATTTCTCATGGGAATAAGTTGATGTATATTCATAGACAGTGTGTATCATGTGTTCATGTTGACATTCCATAGAGTTAGAGTGTCAGTGCTGTGATATAAAATCCATTTATCTGGGGTCACTAAAAGCTCCTTCAGCATGTATTTCCAGTAATGCAGTACTCATGTCCTCACATGCCCCCCACATGACGACGGTGGGGCCACTTTCATGATTAACCATAACTCCTCGAGAGAAAATTCATTACATCTTGTCTGACAAGCGCACAAACGCACCCACGCTTACACTCGCTCACACGTAAAAGGCCGCAAATGTTAACCACTTGAGGATAAAGACAATAACATACACAGATGTTGTTAATATCCTGATGCGACAACTAAAATGGAGGATTTATGTCAACTGTTTAGCGTCTGTTCCTGCATATAAAAGGTTCACTGGATTGGTGCAACCAGCGGGAAGCTGGTTTGGTTTAAATCCCGACACCTTTAATGAGCGATGCCTCCAGGGTGATGTTGAACTCCTGCAGAGTCTGAAGAACTCGAATCAGAGAGTTCACCAGCGAGCGGTCCTTGATCAGCGCGGCGTCTTCGTACATTTGCGCCGTGATTGGACAGTCTGCGAGAAGGGCGATCCAGTGATGTAGCAAATGGTCCCTGAGGGGAAACAAAACAAGGAGCAGATTCAATGCAAATGTACACTGGTATCATTTAAGTATAGTGTAAACAATAAATGCATTAAATATTGTTTTATACTCGCTCGTGACACACTCTTGATGTTGGCCATCAAATTGGCGACAAGATTGAGCGTGAGCTCTTTTCTGAGTTTGCAAGTTGATAGACAATGCTGCTCATAATGTCTAACTAATATTTGTAAAGGTTGTTAAAGGGCAAAGTGAGGGTTTAACGTCATCTTCCCTAAGATAACATTCATTTATTTCCTGCCTACCTTGCACCCAGACAAATGAGCATCTGAAACTTTCCGTCCTTGCCAATGTTTCTTGACGTGTTGTTGATGGCGCGCATGAAGCGGCAGAAGTGCTGCACTCGGCTTTGCCAATTCTCATCCGGATTCACCTCCCGTTGCTCAGCGCTTTCAAAGTACACTTGTGCCTTTTCTGTTTCATTGACAATATTGAAAATAATAGATGAAATGCAAAATAGAGCTAATATGTTATTTCAAGGAGATAGTGTTTCTTACCCAAGAAGTCCCAGATGAAGACATTTTTAAAGAGTCGAGGTGATTTAAAACCATGCTGGAAAACCTGCTCCAGAGCCCAGACAAGACCAAACTCCCCACAGAGGAGAAGTGTCAAACTGCCTCTCTGTAAATAGCAGGAAAACAAGACATGATTTCAATTTCCCTCTGAGTCATGCCTACAAATTCTCTTCCATTTCGTATCCTGTTAAGTCATCTCATCGTTTTATTTACTACATCATTCATGGGTCTATGGGCTAAGAAAACGTTAGGAAGATGCTGTGACTATACACTTGTTTGCTTTTGTGAAGTATTAAAGACTTTTTTTGTCCTGTCGGGGTCAGTGTGAGCACAGACTTTGATGTGAACAGTAGGTGCTGGTGGCATGCCCTACCATTACAATCAATGACAGCGTCATATATTTGCCTGTTTTCTTGTCACAGTAAATTAACAATTGAACATGACTTTGGGGTGGTGTTGTGGTAATGTGAGTATGTAATGGTATATTATAGCAATATAACCTATAACACCAACTGTGAACGATGCAATCTCCTGAAAAGTAGTGATTTTGGAGATGCAAGAATTCTGCCCGACAGCGACAATATGAAATTACACCAAAATCTACAACCTCCTTTCATTTCAGTGCAATTGAAATGATCTGCTTTGGTGCTGAATACCACAGACTCCAAAACATGAAGACGACTAGCCATCATTCGAGGTCAGACAATCCGTATGAGAATTAAAACAGCTGTATCATTTAAACTTTTAATATGTTTTTAACAGTCCAAAAGAGACCACACGGCAGCTCAGGGATCGCCAGAAGAGGGATGCTGCTTCTCAACATGAGTGATGAATAATAGAAGGACATGATGGTGGCTTGTCTAGACTATCGTCTCCCACCTCCTTTTCCGGTTTGTGGAAGTGCTTCACGATGCCGTTGATGGCTTCTCCCACTCCCTCCTGGATTTGACCTGTGTTTAACTCTGCCAGAAAAGAAAGAAGGCAGGGCTGATGAGTAAAATAGCATGGAGGGAAAAATAGTTTTTCTTATCAGAGCGCTGAAATGTAACAGTTCTATTTCATCCCTACGGACTGCCAGAGGCGGTGCTGAAAGCACTGAATGTTCGCTTTGCGCATGCGCAGTTTGAGTATGCATATTAAAAAATGTCACCTTCGACCCCAGGATGACCTTGGGATAGGTAGAGGGTTCTGGGTGTCACCAGAGGTTCGTTTCCGACAGAATCTTTCAGTGAACATGAAGATTCCGAGTCACAGAACGCTCTGGTGGTCATTCGGGATTCATAGTCACATTTGGAACTTTCATTCGATCTGCTTTTTTTTCCAGATTATATGACATAACATGTTATGATTTCAAAAACAGAGATAAGTGGTGACAGCGACGTTGCATCAGTCAAGTGTTTTCACAGTGCCCTCAGTTTCACGAGGCAATATGTCACTACATATTGAGCCATTTATCCTCTCATATGCAGCCGCTGACAACTTCGCTGAGGGCGGCCATCTTCAAAATCGTGCGAGCGGCGAAAGCGTTTTGATTTCCCACTGCTAAAATGACGGGCACACGGTGAGTTTTGTACCTCGTGAGGGGAAAGATATCAAACCTGTTAAGAGATTTGCCTCGTGAGACAGACAATGCCCCAAAAACTAACATGTTCTTGTCAGATTATCTAAGTATGCGAAAAAAGAAAATGGACGACATGATTGAAGTTTGGCAAATTTGTGTGGAGCGGTTTCTTACTTGGCTTGCTATTTGGTGAGATTGTCACAAATCTCCTCATCATCCCCGGCGACTGCTGCATTGGCGGCGTGCGACACGTCCTTTCATCGTTCTCTGTGACGGGCGTCATCAGCTCCCCGACGAGGATCCTCTCCAGGCTGCTGCCATTCACTTCCATTGTCGGCGGCTCTTTGTGCAGCCCACTCGACACTATAGACAACTACATAGTGAACATTAAATAACGTTGCCAGTTCATTTCACTCTAAATACATTAGCTCCATTAAACGAACGTCACTACGACCTCAAGGAAATAAACAGAGACTTACCGAAGGAAAACTTTGAATCTTCGCCGTTTTCTTGTCACGCACTGCGCATGCTCCTTACTACGACTGCATACAGCTGGACATTAAAATATGATTAGCATAAAAAGCCCGAATGAAGCGAGCGAGTGCACGATGACCATATAAGGCGTGCAGGCGTTGGGTTTGAACAGCTCTCGACCAATTGGAGACACGCACAGAAGAGTGGAATGCTGGGATGTGTGGTGAACACCTCGGCCGGAGCGTTGTTGGTTGCTCATTTAAAACTACAGTACCAACAAGCCACCTGGTGTACGACTTTAAAGATAAACAGACATTTGACATGGCGCGAAGAAGTTTGTTTACATGTTCTCACTATTAAAGAGCTCAAGTATAAGAAAAGCACTCATCAAAAATGATATACGTAATATACATACACTATATATATATATATATATATATACACACACACACACACACACACACACACACACACACACTGTATATCCCTTGCCATCCTTAACTGTTGAAATTTCCAATCCTGTTGGACCTCAGCAAAGGTGTTCCAGACACGTTTCACCGATGAAATCAATCTGTTTTTAATTTCATTGGATATGGTGGACAGAGTCCAGTGAATAGATCTTATGCAAGGAGGGTAGCCAATTATAAAACACAAAATATGACGAATCCATTCATCCTAAACCTAAGGAAATTATTTTTAGGGTGTTTCTTCAGTGGTTTGCAAATTGTCACAGAGCTCTCTCAGTCACTGTGATTTCCATTTTGGGTGATAGTGGCCTTTTCTACATTCCATCTCGGGGTAATTTCTCATGGGAATAAGTTGATGTATATTCATAGACAGTGTGTATCATGTGTTCATGTTGACATTCCATAGAGTTAGAGTGTCAGTGCTGTGATATAAAATCCATTTATCTGGGGTCACTAAAAGCTCCTTCAGCATGTATTTCCAGTAATGCAGTACTCATGTCCTCACATGCCCCCCACATGACGACGGTGGGGCCACTTTCATGATTAACCATAACTCCTCGAGAGAAAATTCATTACATCTTGTCTGACAAGCGCACAAACGCACCCACGCTTACACTCGCTCACACGTAAAAGGCCGCAAATGTTAACCACTTGAGGATAAAGACAATAACATACACAGATGTTGTTAATATCCTGATGCGACAACTAAAATGGAGGATTTATGGTGAGGCATCATTTGCTTTTTGCTTACTCGTGCTGCCCTCCCTCTTTATCCATACTGTCTCTCACTCTTCACCACTCCAGCTCTCTGTGGACGATTAATGTGCAGCGTGTGTGTGTGTGTGTGTGTGTGTGTGTGTGTGTGTGTGTGTGTGTGTGTGTGTGTGTGTGTGTGTGTGCGGTGGGTATTGAC